TGTTGTCAAAGGACCATAATCCAAGGCCTATAAACATGTGGTCATGTTACCACATATATGTACAGTACTCTGTTCTAATCACTGATATCTCAACAAAATCACAAATATAAAGAAAGGATCATGATATAATGCAATAAACAAAGAACAATGGATGTCATGAGATCTTCAGCAATAACTCATGAATTATATTAAGTCTGGTACTCTTGACTTATTAAATATTTTTGACATTTTCAATAACCATTTCATGATTTAGTTGATGAGTGATGAGAGAATGTCTGATCACTTAGGTATCTTATCAATTGTGTGAAGTTGCATGTTTTTGAATGTTCCTGTCTGTTTAACATGTAAATGGAATTTCATTGGTTTTCTGAGAGAAGACAGAACACTACAAGAGATGGCGTCAGTTGTTCAGGGTAGTGCAAGTATTTAGGGAGGCAGAGGTAGGAAGATTTGAAAGAAAGCATGACAGTATTTTACTTGCCATACTGTACTTATAAATCAAATTGCTATTACAATACATAATGATAAAAATTCATAAGAATCGAAAGTGGTATGCCTTCAAATCAACCCCTGTCTCTTTCAAATAAGTAATGTTATGAATGATCAACCAGTAATGCAAGACATATATTTTTAAAGTTGTAACTTGCCAAGTTTTTATAGTATTCTTGCAACACATATTTGCTTAGACTGCAATTTAATTGGCACTATTCTCTAGTTATCCTTATATCCTTAATTTAGTGCTTTTATATTTGTCACAGTTTTAGAGTGGCTAAAGTGGTACTTCCAGTAACTTGTCAGTTTGTATTGATAAACAGATGGGCATACATGCATCACCAAGTAGATGATTAAAAGCGAACCATTTGATAAGTGGTGGGGAGGGAGTAACCAGAATAAGTGGTGGGGAGGGAGTAACTGACCAGAATATCTTTACTAAAACTACAAATCAAAGCTAAAAATATGTATTTTCTCACTATAAGACAACTGTTGTTGTTCAACTTGAGCCATAAATGCTTCATTCCTTCAATATTCCTTCAAGCCAGAAAAAGGTTACAAGCGACTCCCTAAATATCTTCTGGTCAGTCCCTAAGTTACAATTATGTCTGTTCATGAATTTCAAATTACTGTATCAGAGGGTAATTAAAACCTCATTGAAGTAAATTATTCTAAACGTTGGTGTCCTAATCAGTTCTAATTAATCCCAAATATCTGCTCTGTAGAGTATAAAGATCTGAATGTTTAGAAATTATTATGGAAATTATCTAAAGATATGAGATTTCCACACATGTTAGTGGGGATGGTTTGAAACGAAATTAACTTAGGAATGACCTAAATGAAAATTATAAGGCGTTGTCCTCAATGAAAATTATAAGGTGTTGATATCTCAACTATTTTTGAGAGCTACCAACAGAACATAATTCAAGTTGGGCTCATTAACAAAGAGTTCTGTTTATTTATACTCCATCCAATAAATTAAATATTTTTTGACTTTTTTAAACAGTTTAATATCATCCATTAATCAAACTTAAAGATCATTCATGACTCTTTTCTATCATGGAAACCATCAGAAATACATCTTGTGTAATGTTTCAGGTTTTATAACTGTTATAGGGGGTAGCATGATTTGAAGGGTCAGTTATAATGAGAGACCATCAACTTTCACTCCAACTTCACCTCATGATGAAATTCTATACTTGTGCTTTAACCTATCAAGACATCTGCTCCTGGTTAACCTCTATATCTATTGGAGGCACCTATTTAACCACCTCCCACTTCTCTCTTTAAACCTCATTCTATTACTCAACACATCTTTATGTTTTGCTACTACTGTAGTTCAAATATAGTTGAGAAGGAGAGATGTCATGGTTTGTCAAGAAGTGAAATCTTGGATAATGAATATAATTATCCCAGACTTGATTCTCCTTTTTAGAGAGTGTTATTCTGACCTATGTATTTACCATAAGAAACAAAGCAATTATCCTTGTCAAGCAAATTCTCTATGCAAATAATGGTCTATATTTACACTCATAGTTCATCCTCTTGTTAAGTTTATGCCAAAGGGGTCTTTCCATAAGTTCAGGCCCTTCGAAGTCCTTGGGGATTGAATTTTCTATAAACACTTATCAAAAAGGAAACTCAGGAGTAAAACTGCTGAAAAGGTGCTTTCAACACAAAAAGTAGTAAATCAGTCAGACATACCTTGAGGTAGCAGACTATACAAAATTCAATTGACTGTTTGTTTGCTACTTCTAATTGGACATGGAAACTCCATTGATTCTGATAACGCAGAGTATAACCAGATTCTAGGGTTTTGAACTTTTAGATATTCTCTAAATCAATAATTTTGCCATAATTTAATCGCGGACTATTGTGACAGTATTTCTATTGTTTTACATGAACCTGAATTGTTTTTCATTTTTCTTACATATGAACTCCCTTTGTTGTCATATAAGCATATAGGCACTTTAATAATATAGCATAATATAAGTATTAACTGGACTCGACCTGGTCAAATGTGTAACCCTGCATATTAAGATTCTATGTGGTGATGTGTAACATGGAAGGAGCATCAAATACAGCAATGTTCCTTTTTGTGTGATTTTAAATGCGTTCAAAATATGTTCACGTCAATCATAAATAAAATTCAGACTATACAGAATAGAGTCTAATCCTATACTCCCTCCTATTAATGAAATATATGTCTAGTCAATAAATGTCTAGTTAAATAAGTGTACATTGTATATCTCTATTGTGCCAAATAAAATCGAGATTTGGGATTGAAAACAAGTATTCTTTAGATGGCAAAAGCTCAAGGGTGAGCACTGTGCTCTACATCAATGGCACATAAACTACTCATTAGAGGTTATCATTAGTTTTCATTACAGTTATTAGATGACTTACAATGATGGGTGTTCACATAAGAAACCAAAAAGATGACTTTTTGAACTTTCGTTAAAAATGTTGGATCAACAATTATGTATTTATAAGGCAAGTTGATAGCACTGCATTTTTTATATAAACAAACCTAATGAAATAATACAACCTAGGTTCAAAAATGTAAAATAACAAAGTAAACTTAAATTATAAGACACAATAAATCTTGTATGATGTTAATATCTTGGAGGTTTTGCTGAATTCAGGGTGATAATTCAACCAATCTTCACACATTCAGGGCTTCAATGATTTCTTTAAAGGATATCTCTCACCTTTTTATTAAGGTATCATATCATATTTTCAAGAGCATTGTGTATTCTACCAAAAAATTGCTTTATACCAGAAGGAAAAAATATGGGTGTTGCTAAATTGAATAATGCATGTCAGTATGATGTACTTCATTAAAATAGATGAATCCTGATCCATTTTAGTATAACAAGGCCCTGAGTATGTGAATATGGTCAGACCTGATTTTACAGTATACCTGAAAATCCAGGAAAACTGGCTGCACTGTACAAGCAAGTGCTCCTAAGCTTCTCAAATTAGGGGACAAATTCAAAATGCAAATTCAAATGTATATTTTATTTAATTCAGAACATCTGGAATTATGAACCAGGATAATGTAAACCGTTCAAATGTGGAATACAATGAACCCTCACCAGAATTTTGGCAAATGCACATTTTGTATTTTATAGTTGGTTGTGACATACATCTGAGTTTACATTGAGAAAGACATCTGATCCAAATGAACCAGTTGAAACTAATGCGCAGATACCTACTGCAGCAATTGGGTTTATATTAGGGAGCATTGCATGACATCACAATGATCACCTCAACTTTTCAAACAATGAATGACTATTAAATTCTAATTATTCATGACAGAGAACATCTGATCAGAATAGAACATTATTTGTGTCAAAATGTCAGGCTGAAGTGTATCACCATTTTTTAATATCTTTCTTTTTGAAGTTGACAAAGCATTTTTGTTGATTGACCATGAGACAAACTGCAATTGTTTGAGTTAAATCATCATAAATTCAGACACATTTCTTTATATCTTGGGAAGCAGTTTGAAACATTGAGATGATCTTAAAAAAAATTTAAGTGGTTACCAGACCTGGGGCTCTGTGTCCTACCAATACATATATCACATGTAGTTATACATATATCACACTAAATGTACAAACCCATCCTTGAAAATTAACTCTACATGGGTCTTATCATTGAGTTCTCAAATAAACAGAGGTCTGCACTCCTAAATCTATAAAGTCTACCATTCTCAATAGCCACACATATTTCTTCTGAGTGACTAAAAAATTAGAGACTATTTCTAGTTTATATTACAGTAGGAGGGTGTAAGGCTTGATTTAGGACGTCTGATTCTCATTAGAGCCTGGCTTGCACTCACATTAGATTATCTTTGACACTATAATTAACAAAAACAATCCATCATTTTTGTATTTTTTTGCAAGTTGTGTTAGATACACAGACCCCCAGTTATGCATAATTGCTCACAGGTTTCCATATGTCATTTATCTAACATTTTGACAACTTGGGACAATTTATCTGAGCTATGAAGATTTCTTCTAAGCTCCTTGTTTTCAGACTTTATAGAATGAAAAATAAATTTTGATATTCAATTTTTCATTTTCATAAAGAACAGTTAAACGATGAATTACCAGTAATATGACACGTACTAGACTGTCAAATGCACCAGATAAGAAATGAAAGAGAACAGGTAACTATAGAGAATTATAGGTTGTGTTAAATTTCTCTTGAATGACACTGCTGTTTTTGTAGATTGTATTTAGGGAACTGTAGTATAAAAGTCCTGACTATGCTAACTTATAGGGGTATACTAATGTGAAAACATGAATGTCTTACAAGACGATTGACAAATGAAAAAACAAACAAGACTTTAAAAAATCACTTGTTTAAAGTGATTAAGACAAGTGTCTGAAACATGTAGGAGGTGTGTGTTTGTACATAATAAAGAGTGATCCCATATATATGTGCATTATACAGTGCCATATAACGTAAGACATAGAGACAATAAACATATGACCTACCTGCAAGAGGCCTAAATGTAAATCCCTTCTGTGTGACTGGGTATGTATCCACGAACCCTCTTTGTAAAGCTGAATTGATCCTTTCAAATAACACGGGCCTGTTGTAATATCCTTTTGTTCCTAGATCTAAAGTGACTATGAGACTCCCAGGTCTGAAAATGAAAAGCAAAATGGATCAAACCTTGTAAAGAGGAGATCAGCCTTAAGGCCCGGTCACACCGCCTAAACGTTGCTGGAGCATTCCTTGAACGTTGAAAAAAATCATCAACGCTCGTAAACGTTCACCACCGTTTAACAAAAGTTGGCATCCGTTAAAGCAACGCTGTAAACGCTCGGCCAACGCGGATGTTTCTCGAGTGGCCATCCTAACGCTCCAAAAGTTTTGAGCTGCTCAAAATATTGCGAGCGTTGAAAAGGAACAATTTTACGCCCTGACAAAGTTTATCACCGCTCCACCAACGCCCAGTCAAAGTTTGGCACCGCTAGACGCAAGTTTGTGGACGCTTGAATCCGCTAGACCAACGCAGAAATCTTAAACGCTGGACCACCGCTGCTTCACCAGCGTTGCCCGGGCGGCGATTAAACGTTGCACAAACGTCGGTGGAGCGGTTGTTAGCGTTTTATCAGCGTACACGGGGTTGTTGGAACGGTGTCGGACGTTGTCGCAGCGTTCCATGGCGGCGATGAACTTTGCTTTGGCGTTGGTATAGGTGTCGGAGCGGGACCAGAATTTAGCTATAAATACGTGGAGAAATGCACCACTGTGTAGAACACTGTGGAGACACTTGTGCATTTTACATTTGATATATATTCATGTCTGGCATTTCAATTTTTTGCATTGTAAATTCCTAAATTAAGCGCTCAAAGTTTGTGATTTTGGATTTTAAAAAGGTGAATTGTGCGATTTTTGTTTTTCATTAAATGTTAATACAAATAGACTTTTACTGAGACCTTTATTCAAATATAGTATATACCTAGTGTTTTCACGTCAAGCAATTCAATAAATTATCTGTGAATTTTCTGCGCAGCTTGTAAAATGTTGCACTCGTCATGGTACTAGTATTATATAAAAAGTTGATGCGCGCACAGCAATGCAAAAATTTGTCATGCATCATGATTATTACTTTGCTGTAAATGTTATTTGACATTGTTAAAGCAATTTGAACGTAAATCGGTTCCAAGTAATGGAAATGCAACGATTAAATTGTGATATGTTTGTTTGAAATGATATGAGAGATTATTAAAGAAAATTGTAATGTTATTCATTCTTAATGTCATATTACATTAATAGAAGCACTTTAGATTTAAAACATTTCTTCTTTAATCCTTGAAGGACTTTTGTTAAAGTTACAAATTCCAATAAAGGTCTTTACTCTTAAACACTTCCCACTTGAAATAATTTCCCAGTAGTCAAACGCGATATGCTGCTAAACCAACGCTGCTGCTATTTATACCCCCGCCGAGGCAACGCTCTCATGCGCAGAACGCCGCTATACCAACGCTCGCATTACCGCTAAACAAACGCTAGCTACCGCTCGCAACCGCTTAACCAACGCTAAAGCAACGCCGGCTTCAGCGGTGCACCGCTAAGCCAACGCCCGTGTTTTTGTTTTTTTTTCCCCATTTTGTGCGCGTTGACGAGCGTTGATGAATTTTTTCAACGTTCAAGGAACGCTCCAGCAACGTCCGGGCGGTGTGACCGGGCCTTTAAAGCAAGAAATCCACTCATCTTATACAAAATGAAGCTAGATTTGGAAATATAGTGTCTATACATCAACTAAAAAGAATGACATTCACTCAAATGCATCCTTGGTCCAAGAGTATTCCAATTCATTCCATATGAGCTGTGACAGTGAATGCCTGATCTTGAAGGTTGCACAAATGGTAATATACTGTAAAATTGTTCTTCTTATGAGGTAACATTGAATTTTATACTCACCTAAATTGTATGATATTGCAGACTTGTTCCCCTGGTATCTGAGTATATAAAGTAAGAATGGCCCGACAGAGCTCGTTGGCTAACTCCCGAAAACGGTAGCTATCTCTGTTTCCTAAGTCAGACTCCCATTTAAGTGAGGTAAAGTTTAATGTAACCCGGAAATATTCTGAAAATAAAAAGAAATAAAGTGTTAAATCTTTCGATAATAAATTAAATGATAATTTGTTTTATTGTTATGACTCATCTTAAAAGGCAGGCCTAATAATGAAAAAATAAGAGGGACATTCAAGGCTATTAAAACAGCCTACTATAAATAGAACATGTACACAGATATCTACAAACTTACATGTATTTTAGGACACCCCATACTTAAAAAATAGATGGTTTTAGAAACCTTGGAAAATTGTACCCATTTGGTTCTAAATCATTAATAGTTAACCTCAAACACAGTTGTGTTTATTTTTCCAACCCTTGGTTTACATGCATGTATTTATTACTGACCAAGGAAATGGATAAACTTAATTTAAGGTAAAGAGTTACAGATGGAAGCAAAATGGTATTTTAGCCAAGAGGGGCTTGAAAAATATCCCTTAATTTCAAAATCTGATTTCTGTTATTTCTCAAATTCTTACAATCGCTGTATCATATTTCAAGAAATTGCAGAAATCTTACTAAATATCATAGGTGAAAGGATTATACTTTGAATTAATGATTTTTCTATTCATATGTCCTAATAACTCTTACTACATTTAACCACTTGTTATTTTCAGTCAGGAAATAAGGTTTTGATGAAATGGCAGACTGGTGATAGATGAAGACTAATTGAACATATTTTCTATTTATCCTTCCAAAAATAAAAAATGATAGCTCTACCTTTTACATAAAACATAGAAAAGACATGACACGATTGGGATCAGTCTATATACAGTGTATTAAGATGGTGGGTCAAGTGGTATGGCTTTTGAACCTGGTAGCGCATGATGTCAGCATTACATGTAAAAGTTCCAATTAAGATCACCAGATCTCAAGTGCTGATCACGTCATGCCTTACTATACTTATAAACTGCCATAGAACCTATATACTCCATTTGTTAATAGTTTGACGCATTTAATGCAATCATTAGTTTGTAATTGTTCAAATGCTGAATGCTGTCATGTCAACCTATCTTATTCAAAAGGCCCATTCAATAGTTTATGTCAGATACTGGGGAAAAGTTGACATTTGAGTTGTTGAAAGCTTGAATATGTGAAGAATTAAAAATTATATCTGATTTTATATCTTCTCTCATTATCTGGCAATCGAAATAAAGTTGCTGAGGTAACCATTTTGAAACCATAATGACCCCCAGAAGATTGGAAACCAAACAACCCCAAGAAACTTGTAATTATGCAACATCATGTGTATGACCATAACTAATAAACATGATAATCAAGAGGCTTTTTAATATACAAACAATGTGAAAAAATAAATTAATTGAAAATGTATTTCTGTAAGAGATCATTGGCCAGGTTTATATAGGGCTTGACCACTTACATTACCTTGATAGCACTACACCTAGAAATACCTCCCTGTAAGCAGTATAGTCTAGTGTAGAATATGAAGTGCACAGTTGGACCATTTTTGGGCCAAAAAATCAACATCAACTGTACTCCATAGTTAAGTAGTTTAAACCATCTATTTCGTTCACCAGTTTAAAACATAAGCTAATCCCCAACAATATCCCAATTATTAGCCAATATCTGTGCCGATTTCAACAAAACTGGAAAAGCTCCTATGTTTCAAATTTAAAATAACTCCATGGAGTAGCAAATCCCACTGAAAAAACATTTAATTAAATTATGTGATAGAAATAACCAGGAAATAGAATAGTATTGTTTTCTTTTGGGAAAATCTACACCCATTATGTGACATGATGCCATATATTAAATTCTTTCTTGAACAGAGGTCTTATAACCATAAATAAGTGTATAAAAGTTGGACCAAATTCCATAATTTGATCCATAAATGGTATCTAAGTTATCAAAAATTATATTTTTTATGATAAATGGCTTTCCATTTTGAAATTCAGTGGTCACCTTGAACATTTCTTCTTAACCGGATCTCCTATGTCCATAGTCAACAGCAACGAACTGGTATTTGAGTTATCCAAGATTATATTCTTTTACAAAAAAGTGACAATTTGAACTGAGCTGCCATATTGGGGATATTCCTTCTTGAGCATAGGTCCTACATTCATAAATATAAGCGTAAAAAATTTGAACCTAATCCGTTAACTGGTATTTGAGATATTGCCTGGACAAACAAACAGATGGAAGAACGGACAGACAAAGAAGTTGTCCTACAAACTTTGTCCGAGAGGAAAATAAATGTATACAGCCTGGCATTTCACTCATACAATAGTAAACTGACTTTTGGACAATTAGAATGTGATCAATGAAATCAAATAATTTTACAATCCATATACACTTATCATACATAATAATAAACGCACTTCACAGATATTTTATCAACTTTTGATTCAAGACTTCAAACATTTCAAAGATAGTAGCAAGATAAATATGGCGTTATTCAATGTTATAATCATGTAACATGGTGAGCACATATCAGAAAAATATGGTCAAGAACTCAATTGGCACATATGAGGCAAGTCCAGAAATGATCTTTTAAAATGTCCAATAAAATATCTTTTATGACAATGATTATATGACTTCGTACATTTCTTCTAAGAAAGGTGGTTCTAAGAAAGGTGGGAATGCTGCCCTAATTGTTTATACTGTACCTGCCTCCAGTGCTTGTTCAGGGTAAGAAAATCACAAACAAAATGTTACCTAAATTACTGTTGCAACATTAAACAAGCAAGCGCTGGAAGGAATATTCGTGGTACAATTTCAGCTGAGTAGCCTTTGATCCACAGCTAAACATAGTCAGCTGTGATGAGAAAGGTATATTCTATATGCACCTTACTGTTGGTACAGGTAAGCCAAATCATTGTAACATCCATTGGCTTATTCAAGCAAACTCATGACGTTTCAATCCATAAAAGAGGACGGAAACCAGCTTACAGATTCAGATGTCAACTTCCTATTACATTTAGAAACTGAGATGAGACGTCCAAGGTAAACTGATAAACTGAGAATGAACTGGGAAGCTAAGATTGTGAACCCAAATGAGAGTTAAATTGGTTATATAATAGTTTGCAAGCTCAGGTTTGGACATGAGGTTTTGCCATATTGTGCCTAAACACTTTATATTAAGTCCCTTGGTTAGATCTATATTTTCACATACGGTAGCTTTTACCCAAAGCTAAACTTGCCACATCATCCTTATTTTTTCTACCTTGATACTACTGTATATATTCCTGCCAAGTATAAACTAAAGCGACCAGTTGCTTATGCAGACATCATATCCATTTGTAGATAAAAATTATATCACTCAGAAATCAATGTACAAGATGTTTATGAGGAAAAAACAATAAAAATATGTTAATTATAAAACCAATTTCTTTTACAAAACCACGTTTTTCTAGTTTTAATGAATCTCTCTTGAACAAGTTATAAAATACTTGAGGAAGGAAACTGCCTGGTAGAGTGATTGCTATGATTGGTGTGATTGGTAGGTACTTCAGACAATTCTTGCCAGGAAGCAAGAACTCCAGTGGTTTTAGAATCCAAAATGTACTCTTGAGAGTGAAAGGTCAATTAGAGGGGGTTTACAATCTAAGTGATTCCCTTTAGAAAAATCTTCATTTTCTTATGAAACTCATTAAAACATTGATTTCAACTTAATGACCATTGATTCATTTGTCTGAACACAAAAACTGACACATTATTTGAAGGAGTAAATATTGTAGAAAATGTTACTCAAAACAGAAAGGTTATGGTGTATATTTATCTGTCTCCAGTAGGTGTGATAAGAATCTCAGCTAATCAGTAGAAACCTAAAACCCTTTACCCCTGAAAAGCTCTTGCTGATAAATTCTTTACCAGTTCAACATCCTTTTTGAATAAAAGCAGATCCCGAATGAAATATCAATAGGAATATGTATGGTAGAAATAACAAATGAATTCTCCAGTTCTTTAAAATGGAAACTGAACCTATCAACAGTCAGGATATCTTGTTCTCTGGTTTATTTAACAAATTGTTTGACTTTGCAGAGAGAGAAAGAGAGAGTGAGTCAGTGCTTCTGTATGTAGAAAGGACTAGCCACTTGTATGAATATTCCTGGCTCAAAGCAGCATTTTCTCAACTACTAATTCAGCCTCTTCAGACCATCAGTCTGAGAATCAGGATTTCTCCAAACCACTTGCCTTTTCAGGCCAGAATCAGCATTTTCTTAAATACAAACATTTTCAGCCCAGACATTTTCCATGGTTCTAGCCCTTTCAGACCAGAATCAGAATTTCTCCAACTACTAGTATTTATTCTAATGTTCTTCACATTTTTCTACCTTGCATCTACCCTGCGTGCAGAGTCTAGTTAAACTACACTCTGCCTAGTAGAGACCATATTACAGTTTAGTAGCCCCGCCCCCACGACGGGTACCGGTGACAGTTTGGGTAATAAATCACTTCTGACCTACGAGCTGACCTTTCTTCCACCAGTCAGCGAGCTTGAAGAAACATACGCCAAATGCCTTCTAATTAAATATGCGCATGCCATTGGTCAATTCCGGGCTCAACGATGACGTAAGAAGGAATGACCATATATAGAACGTCGGTCAAATTTGGCCGACGAACACTGATTGGCGCGGTGAGTTCACAGGTTTATTTTAGTTTGAAAGAGTGAAGACGAAGCTCTCTTTTAAGAAGTGAAGTCAAACGAATGCAAAGGGTACCTTGCATCATAAATGCTTGTGAATACTAGTATTTTCAAAATTTTCCAACAACTAAATACCTTAACCAACATCAACATGATAAAAGCAGAAAAGGCAGATGGAACCCAGTTCTACATATCTGACAGTGTATTTGCAATGAACCAAAGTTCCACTGCTCAGTGGTGGATATACCCAATGACTTCCCCAGCCTGGACTGGGTTAACCACAGGTACTGTAAAACTACTTCCTGGCACTTACTGTATAGAATATACTATGTAGATCCCAACATTCTGATCTCTCACAATAGGTAAATCGTGGTAACTGCTCAACTCAAGTCAAGAGAACATCTTGTGTTCCAAGGTACAAGCAATTAGAGACTTTACAATTAGAGATATATGATGATCTTGGAGGAGATTTGGTAAGCCATAAAAATGGGGGTAATAAAAGAAAGTTTCAGACACAAAGAAAGATATCAATAATGTGCCCATATATTCATTGAACCACAACATCTACTAATCAAACAAACAAATGAACATCAAACAAACAATGCTTGAGAAGAGTTTTAGTTTAGTTTTCCAGATAAACAGTAGCATACCAACTATGTTCAAGTGTCCACTTGAAGTTGTTCCCTTCTGGAATCACACTATGGAATGGTACACTTGGGAAAAGAATGCTATTAGAGATACCATAGCTGGACCTTGATTGGATATTATCAAGAAGTCATCTCAGTTTGAAGACTAAACCCATCTTTCACCCCATGCAGACAGATCACCTAAAATTACATTCATATGATGTGAGACTCGACATTCACCAAGAAACTTGAAATAATTTGTCACCCATGAACAAATTAATTTTTTACTGCTTAATAAATGGTGAATGACAGTCACATTAAGTTCTATAAGCATGAGAATAGCATGACGTCTTGATATTTCAAGGTAACTCATTTGAAATGTGATGGCGGTGATTGAAATTACGATGTGTACATCACAAATCAAATTTTCCGAAACAGAAAAAAATGAATAAATAGTTAGGCCTGCAAGTCCAATTCTCCATGGTAGCATTATCATTGGTCTCGTATATGTCATACAATTAATATTTAAAACACAACTATTATTCAAACTTTTGATCGGACATTAGTATGATATTACTTACCTTGAAGTTTGAATAATAGTTGTGTTTCAAATATTAATTGTATGACATACACGTGACCAATGTTAATGTTACAAGGGGGAATCGGACCTGTATATTTCTTGGTTTTTCAAAGAAATCCACAAATATTTCTTGACGGTTTTATCTTTACATTGTAAGCTCAATCAACGCAATCTCTATTCAAACGAGTAACCTTGATATCAAGACGTTGTGCTATTTTCATACTTTTAGAACTCAATGTGACTGTCATTCACCATTTATTAAGCAATAAAAATTAATTTGCTTCATGGGTGGCAAAATGGTTCTAGTTTCCTGGTGAATGTCGAGTCTCGCATCATACGAATGTAATTTTAGGTGATCTGTCTGCATGGGGTGTCTTTGCTACTCAGAGGAAGGGTCATATCATGTTAAAAAAACAATAAGATATGTTTAATTCTATATATGTTCCAATCAGGTGCTAGTACATTCTACACTGAGTAAATCTCAGCACTTGACTAGTGTGCCATAGACCAATACAATATTATACATGTATAGCAGTATCAATAGGTACATTTTACACTCTAATCACCATATGGTTTATCAGTTTTGTATGATTATTTTGTTATTCAAAGTCATCACATGTCAAAACAATTAGGGTCCTTGGCACACGCTGATGCCTGATATACTAGAATCCTTGTGCCATATTTATATGGTACATTGTTTTGGTAATACATTTCTCTTATTTCCAAATTTTGCATCTGGGTTGTTTCATTATTTGAAGAATTCTCTCTCAGACATAAATGTTAATGTGACACTGTCTGTATTTATATAATCACTATTGTTGAGTAAAAACAAACATCTCACTTTCATGCTTTAGGAGGGTTGTTGGAGGTATATTATATGACAACTTTCTTTTGACTAACTGTAAATTGGATAGGTGAAGATAGAGAGTGACTATTGACTAAAATGGTTTCTACAACTTCAGAGACAAATGTTTTTGATTTCTAGAAGGAAGTGGATTCTTTTTTCAAATATTTTTTGAAATTCAAGATTTTACAGGAAGTCAGCCCTTTCACTGGTATCAAGCACAGGTGGTTATAAAGTCTGCAACAGCAGATGGAAAACATGCAATTTTCAGTGAAAATATAAAACTGGCGTGTTTGTGAAAACCAGCAGGCAGATTTTGGCGGTTATATTTGCTAGCTGCCACTTTCAAATAAAAAGGCGGGAAGTGTATGTTGATATTGATGTACTTGCCTGGGTAGTCTACTCCTAAAGTTGGCTCAAATGGAGACGGAGTGGTGGTCTCAAGTCCACTCCCCTCTTCATCTGGTCCAGAGCCAGGTTCATCTCCTTGAAGAAAGTCTTCATCATCTATTAAAGTAGGCTTATCAGCTAAGTTAGGCTTTTTAAGTGGCTCAACATCATTATCAGCAAATTCAAAGTCTTCTTTCTGAAAGCAGAACAAATATTGATTACCTTACAATCATTTTTGTTTTTTGCCGAGAGCACAAACTTTTTCTACCTTTAATGCAATCATCTCAAAGGAGGAATTTTCTGCCCCTATTGACTCCATATCCTCTCCCTTCATCTAGAGCTTGTATTTTAATAACATCAATGACCCTGCCTATCAGAGTTTGAGTACGTTTTCATTAATTTTAGAGCAGTGTGGATATCTTGCACGTTTACATAATATCCAAACCAAGCATTTTCTTACAAAATCACACGCCCTTGCACAAAGAAAATTGCAAACTTCTCTTTGAAAAACCAGGTTTTATGAATCTTATATTTAAGTAAGGGAAATAACATGCATTCAAAGCACAAACGCATTCATATTCTCTATATGGTAAATGGCAGTTTGGTTACCATCTGATACTGAAGAAATCATGGAATATCAATGGATAGGGAACAGAGTACTGAAAATATTCTATAATTCATTGCAGGGGAACAATTTCCGAAATGGGTCAAATAATCTGGTCAATGTCTCCTATGATACCAGACTGGTATTAATTTCTGTTCTGTTGATGAAAGAAATGATTCTAAATAATTGACTCAAATAGCCTCTAAACTGGTTCACACAGAGCATGTTGGAAATGATGTTGTGGTAGGTGGTTTCATCAGGTTACTGCATCACGAATCAACCAAATCATGACATGCTGGGATACATCATAAACTGTAGAGGAAGATATATATCCAGCAATATCTGATGAACAGGAGACCCAGATCGCTTTATAATTCAACAACTCCCACAAACTGATCCAAGATGGGATATTTGACCAGGTCACCCTATACTACAGAGGGTATGGTTTGTTATGGTATCATGCCCTACTCCATCAACATTCATCTTATCAACAATTCTAAACTAATAACTGTTCTTCATGAAAACAAACAATCTTAAGCAAGTAAAACTCAGTTTCATTAAAAACAGTTTTTTGGCATGGTTAGAAGAATCAAATGTGTGTTAAATTATCCATGTCTACCAACATTTTGAATTTTGACCACCAATACAGACACACTAAGTATGCAATTACTTACACAAACCGGTATCTAAAATTGCATAGTTATATGAGGTCAATCATCTGGCAACCCCTTGACTTAGAGGGCCTTCAAAAACTAGTACAGTATACAGTTTTGGCAATAAATAATAAGTCATGGATTTACTGAAGTGAGGTTTGCCGGTTTTCCCATGCTAAAAATAAAATAATTTTCAAGAGGCCATATATCAGTGGATGAGAGTATACGAATTGTAAAATATACAAATTTTAGGAGATACGTACGTCGTATCTAGATAATATTGATAACCATGGGGTTTCAAACCACCATGGTTTGGTAACTCATTTATGTTTTGCCCAAACTATATGTGTATCCATTTGCAATGATCAATTTATGTATCTATGGAAACCATAAAAAATTTTGTTTATGGTTTCCATACATACTGTAACTTATCTTACATAATGTTTGAGCTACCAGCTGCCATCCCAGCAGAATTTTTCAAAACAATTGAAAGACACAATGCACTACTGAAACTATATCAAAGGCCAACATTTGGGTGGTCTTTGACTTTTGAACTTTCAAGGCAATTATCCATAATTCCTTGAAAATAAAGGGAAAAAATCTTGGTAAATATTTCTCAAACCCATGACACAAACCATTGGTATTAATTTCTAAGGATTCTCTGAGTGAGATCACTTTCTCTTATTCTAAACATACCAAAATCTAAATAGACTTTGGGAACAGAGAGATGTCTCTTGTTTCTGCTCTTTTACTTTATCATTTCTAAACTAACGTAATATTGAAAATGCCTGCATTATTTTCTACACATATAGACTATAATACATCATTAGTGGTCTATTACTTTTTCTCTGTTGTACTTAGTTGTACTTAGCTGAACATGCAAAAAGGCCAAATGGACTTGGGCCTCTTTAATCTCTCTTGAACATACAGGCTGGGCTAAAAAAGTTGATAATCTTCATCATTGCTTGGTTCTCCGAGGTTTCTAGGACAAGAAATAAGGCAAGAAAAGTGAAATAAAATTCATTTTCTCAAATGATATAATAACCTGACTGCTTCAAAATTCTAGAGCAATTAATATCAGTAGATTATAGTTTAATTTGCTTCTTTAAAAGTAAAGCTTCATATATCATATAATTAAGTCTTTTATCCCATACTTGGACGTGTTACGGGTACATAAAGCCGGTTTGTAAAAACTTATATTTTCATCAGCGGGCAGATATAGCTTTACGTCCCGCTCTGAGCGGGCAGATATACTATATCTGCCCGCTACGTCATAATCGCTGTTCCCGTATTGGTTCTTTTTTGTAACGTTCGCATACTGTAAACGACAATGGAGAAAAACGCAGACAATCTCGACCTGTTTGATGCTTTAAAAAAGGGAAGGAGCAGTGTACCGGCGTTAATAATCAAAGATTTGAATAGGAAAGAAACAGGAATACAAAACTGGACATGAATATTTTAAGAATATTCCACGGTTGGTTGCAAAGTTTCTGAACTTTGGCAAATTGAACAATGTGATTGGTATGGGATAAACAGATCATCCTATAGTCGGTTCAGGATATTTGGATTATCCCTTGGCCAATATAATATATCTACCCTCGGGACCTACGGCCCTCGGGCAGATATATTATATTGGCCTCGGGATAATCCCAATATCCTGAACCTCATATAGGATAATCTCTATATACTGAGGGTACGAGATCAATCTTTTTTGAATAATAACCACAGGAAATTATACAAGATTTCAGTAGTTATTCTGTCTAATAAGTACCCAGACAGGGTTATATAAGACCCTTTAGACACTATGTCAAATGATAATCTGCAAATCCATTCAGGTAACCATGTTAATCCAGAACAGTCTGTTATAATCTTCATGAAGCATGTCAGTTATTTCTCCATTAACATACTTTATTTGTGACAGTTGAGTGGTTTCTCTAAATCGCACAATTGTTCTAAGTTCATGTAAAATGTTTCAGATATCATTGATATATGCACTCGTTAGCTTTGCTCTCTCGTGCAGATAACAATATCACCTCGTAGATATTCCTCAAAATCATAGGATATCCTATAGTTATGGCATTGTATGGCAAGACAATATGAAGATATTCTATATTATGGCATTGTAAGGCAAGACCATATAAATATGGTAAGATATTCTATTATGGCATTGTATGGCAAGACAATATAAATATGGTAAGATATTCTATCATGGCATTGTATGGCAAGACAATACAAATATGGTAAGATACCGTCAGTGAAATGACATTGCATGGAATGTAAAACCATGGTAAGGCATGTGAAGTATTCACAATAGATGTGTTAAAAATGCTTTTTGTCAATTATCATACTCAGAACACATAAAAGTGTGGCATACAATGACCCCAAAATGTCCTTAAAGATATGATATAGAGTACACATGACAGATATGACTTGTTTGCATAATGGTGATATTTCTTGTCTCAGACAAAGATGGCATTTATTGCATGTCTCAGACAATGTACGTACCTCATATGTTCATTATAAAAATCATTCAAAACAATACAAAAATTATCCTAAAAATTACTAAATAACACATGCATAATGCATTCATTGTCTCAACAGAGTTTTAATCTAATGCAATGTGCTAATAATCATTAATCCATGATGAGATAATCCAATACAGAAATAGGGTACAATGTATGCAGATTATTCTTTGCTTGAGGGAGTGTTACCAAAGGTGTGGTAAGCCGGTAAGTGGTATTCATACTTTCCTCTTAACAATTGACTTCTGCAAAGTGAGAATGAATTCCCTTGTTTTCCAGTTAATACAAATGTACACAATCATTTGATTACTGAAACTTAATCTTACAAATTCAGTATTAGAAAATAATTAAAAGCTGTAATATCAATATTTATTTTTTGTATTTTATTTGTTCTTGTATAATCCACAGGTTGGTAAGGTACACCAAAAAGCCCATATGCTGTTTGAAGATTGTGTAACACATGTATGTACTGGTATCAAACATGGTGAACTGGCCCTTGAAATAAATCAAAATGTTTGATTGTGTAGTTTTATAACAAGATAATGTATAACAATCTTAAAAAGGAAATACCAGACTAAACTATAGCTAACAATAAATAACTTTTAACTCCTATGAATCATAAAGTCTAAATTTCAGACAGGTAAAACCACAAACAAAGTTTCTCCTCTTAAAAAGTCTGGTTAGGTCTTTTGCTTGTGGATTGGCTTTCATTCAGAACTACATTGGTTACAAATTAGGAGGTAATGTACCACAAAATAATGAACATGGAAAAATATTGAATATATATTATTTGCACCCAACATTCATGATATTATATAAGCTGACATTTTTTGAAATTTCTGATCATATTCATATAGTATGTACAGTTGGTTTTCACCTATTTTTAACCTGCAACTAGCACTGACATAAACAAACATTTACGCATACATATACAATAGCAAAATACATCTTGAGAACTACCTGAGAACAGCTTTATCATAAATGAAATACCTACAACAAAACCTCTAAGATCATATTTAACTCAGTTTACTTTTATTTAGTTCGAGTAGAGTATTTTTGAGCATTCCAAAATTTTTTACCTTTTACCTTTGTGATACTCATGCCATCTCCTTTCTTACAACTGATAGCAAATGTGCAGTATGTCTTGATAACTGAATCTAGTTACATTAAGCTGTGCGTAAGATGGAAGGGAGGGAGGGGAATCCTAATTTCAATTGTAATTGAAAGATCAAAATGTCCTGATCCATTTTATAGAAGACACTTTCATCATCATGTGGAAACACATGTTTTGTCCAGATACTAGACCCCATGAGGTGGTTTCATCTTAAACAGAGCAGTTTGTTATAAAAGAGAACACTTCTGTAGCACACTGGGAATCATTTCCACCGTTTCCAAGTGGCTAAAAATACATACACCT